TGGGGGACTCGACCGGGAGTCCTCCCCCGGGCTCCGGGCCGGCCCTTCTTCAGTGGCGCCCCGCGGCAGGGTCCTGTAGGAGGCTGAGAAGCCGTCGGCCGTGACGCTGAGGTCCGAGACGAACTGGACAAGGAGCTCGTTCCCTTCAGAGGAGATGGGACTGCGGGCGGCGGGGCAATGGGGTGTGGCGGTGCGAGGGCGTCAGGCGGGCAGCGCATCCTGCCCCCTACCCGGGCCGGTGGCCTTTTAACCTCTGCCCCTCGGTGGCTGCATTAGCTTTCCGATTTCGCCAGCCCCAGTCGCCTCTTGATCTGCGGACTCCAGGCTTGGCCCCAAACCCAGCTGCCTGTCAGGCGGTCTACCTGATCCGCCCACCCACCTGGGCGCAGCCCACGTCTTAAGCTAAGCCCCGCCCCTCCCACCAGCAGAGCGCGGTCCCTGACTCCCGCACCTGAGGCGGTGGAGACGCCCAGATTCCATCGCCCACCCGGGTCCCGCCCCCTCACCCCGGGGCGGTGTCGCCGCAGAACTTCCCCAGCCGCTTGGCGTCGTCGCTCACAGCTCCGTTGAACACGCTGACCGAGTCATAGCGGCAGTAGGAATCAGGTTCCAGGTCAAACTTTCCGAAGGTCAGTGAGATCACCTAGCGGCAGGGAACAGGCAGAGGCTGCGCGGCGGGATTCCGGGGCGGCCGAGGGCGCGGAGCCCCCACCTCTCACCTCCTTCACCTCGCCGTTGCCTCCGGGACGCTCGCAGCGGCCCCCTCTCTCACCTTCCGCATCCCCTCGAACCCCCTCTCTTAATGCATTCAAAACACGGCTCGGAGAAACACACCCATGGGAACCCTGCAGTGGCGTCCGTCGCCGTAGTCCGCAAGGTCAAGTCCACTTCCACCACCACCACATACACGTAACGCAGAAATCAGTTTATATCAACATCAGGTACCTCGCTTTCGTAAGGCTCGTCAGTTGCAATTTTACATTTTTTGTTTGGATGCAAGCAGGTCTGGGTCTGTTTTTGCTCCCCACCAAGGCAAGCTCAGTGCTTGGGACATAGTAGATGTTCAACAAATCTTTGCTGGCTGCATGCTGGAGGACACCGCCTGGGTCCCCGAGGGCGGCTCGGGCAGGGGGTCAGTACCTGGTCCGGGGGCGCGATGATGTGCCAGGAACAGCTGATGCCCGGGGGGTAATCGGACTCGGGCCAGTTGGGCGTGGTCAGGGTTCCCTGGGCCTTCTCCAGCCGCCCCCCGCAAAATTGGTGCTCTGGGGAGGGGAGAGAGGAGTGGGGGTGGGGGGCGGTGGAGACCCTCCGTCAGCTGGAGGAGAACTCTAGGCTGGGAGCCCGTGCAGAAAGCTCAGATGTCTGGGTCTCAGGATGAGGGGGCGAGAAGAGGGGGAGGGAGGAGGGGGGTAGGTTAGCAGAGAAGGGGCTCGGAGGAGCGGGGCTCAGGGAGGTCTTGGACCGCGGAGGGTTTATCTTGGACTACCCGGCGCCCTGGCGGGCGGTGGAAGGGGGAAGAGGAATTGACTGGACACGCTCCCTTCTTGCCCCTCCCCCTGACCCGAGGTCACATCACTCCTCTTCCCCTGGGAGATCCCATCTCCCCAGTCCGGCAGAGAAGTCTCCATCGTGGCTGGAGAGTCCCCATGTTGTGAGGGTGCCCTCAAATTGGGGCACAGCCCGGGAGGCTCCTTTGGGGAGGTCCCTGCCTTAAACATTTAAGGGGAGACTTCTGCCGCCAGGAGGGGGTTGATGGGACCGCAATCGGGAGCCCCGGGCTGGGTGTAGGAGGTTCCGGGTCGGGGGAATCTAGTCCCCCGGTCCGGGGCTGCCCCCTTGCGCCCGTCTGAGGGAGCCCGATTGCGGACGGGGGCGGGCAGTTACTCACCGTCCCAGTAACCCCAGGCCGCCCATTCCACCCGCGGGTCCGTGACCCATTTCCGCCTCGCGCCTGGGGGGGGGCCTGGAAGAGGGGTGGGTGGGAGCGGGAGGTGGGGAGAGAAGACGGGGAGGAGGGACTGAAGGGGCAGTTAGTGAGGAAAAAGGGTTAAGGGAGATAATGGGGGCCCCAGGCTCTTGGGGTGGAGGTTAAGGCTGGGGCGGGGCCTGCGCCAGGGGCGGGCTAGGAGAAGGAGAAGGCGGAGGTGAGGGAGGTCTCACCAGTGCCTGAGGTGGCCCGCCCGCTGTACCAGAGCAGGAAGCCTCGTCCTCCCGTGCCCTCGTCGGATGTCATCCTCAGGGTCACCTGGTTGCCAGGGGCGACTAAGGGCGCTGGCCGGAAGGTCCCACAGAAGCGTCCAAGCCGCTGGCCCGAGGTTCCAGTCCCAGCAAAGACCTCCAGAGCATCGTAACGGCAGGAGGGGTGCAGCTCCAGGTCAAAGACTCGGAAGGAGAGAGTCACAGTCTGGCTCTCAGGGACCTGATGGCGGGACAGGGGTGGGGACCTGCAAAGTCAGGCCAAACACAACCAGGTGGAGGGCACCTCCCTTTCCCCAAGCATTTCCTACAGAAACTGGGCCTGAGCGGGCAGGGGCTTTGTCAGGGTGCAGAGCAAAGGGCTTGTGACTTGTGCAGGGGACAAGACCTGAGGTCTGTGGAGAGACTAAAGTGGGTGGGCACGAAGTTGGGAAAGGAAAAGCAGGCTCTGAGTTAAGGTGTGAGGACACCTGCCACGTGTTATTGTGAGCACTGATGCCATCAGTGACCAGAGGGGAGGGGCTTGGACTTCCCCAGGGAGAAGCTGTGGTGCTTCAGGGTGGGCAGGGGGTGATTCCCTTAGCAGTCATGCCTTTGGCTGCCTGGACCCAGGCCTTGGAGACTTTGACAAGGGGGTAGTGGCCAGAGGGGCCTTCTCACCGTTACTGTCCAGATGCACTCCTTATTGGGGGGGTAGTGGTTAGGGAAACCCTCACTTGCCAGGTAGCCGGACTCCCCAGTCACAGACCCTCCGCACAGGAACACAGGTCTGGACAACAGAAGAGACGCCAGCCATGAGTAGGGGAGTAGCGGGGAAACTGGGATAGGGTAAAGAGGATGGGGAGGCCAAGGAGAGAAACCAGGGGGATGAGGGAGAAAGGCCCGAGGGATCTGGGGTACCCTTAGCCAGCCAGGACGGGACTGGGGTGGGAAACACTCCAGCAGAGGGTCAGGAAAAAGTGGGGCCAGCAACTTGGCTGCCCTTCCAGCCCCTTGGAGGCCCCACCCCCATCCCAACAGGAATTCCCGGAATCCTCCTCAGCCCCCCTTCCTCATTCTCCCCCCTCGCCCTGCCTGGCAGTCAGAGACAGGAGCCGCCTAACTAATTCCAGATGTGGACACAGCCACGAGGCGGTTGGGAGGGGTGGGGGCGGGGAGATGAGAGAGAAACAGCGGCTTGGGCCCTTATATTGAATCTGGAGACTGGGTTCCCTGAGCTCCCAACTTTTGCCCTGATCCAGTTACAGCTAACTACTTGAGTGCCTGACTCCCTAGTCTCCCACCTCCCCCCCCCCATCTCTCTAATTCCCTCCTGGAATCCAGATGTCCAGCTACCAGGCAAGTTCAAAGTCTTGGTGCTCTCAGGTTCCAGGCAGGGCCAAGGGTCTGAGTAGAGGGGGAGACTTAGAGGGCAGAGGACGGACTGTGGAGGAGTGAGGGGCAGTGGTGACCTGCAGGAGACAGTGATCTTGCAGCAGAGAGGGAGGACTTGGGGGCCAGAGGAGGGTAGGGGCTCTGGGCGATCTGGAGGGGAGATGTTAGCAAAAGAATCCACAAAATCCATAGGCACAACACCCCCCCACCGCCTTTTCCCAAGGAATCAGGGATTTCAAGCTATCTGGAAGGTGCCAAGAGACCTACCTGGTGTAGTTGGGGGTCTGGCCCTGGGCGAAAGGCAGCAGAGCCCAGGCAGTGAGGAGGGGCCCCAGGAGGGAGGCTGTGGCAGCAGGCAGCATGGCCGGGCGGGGGGAGAGGCGCTGGGGTCCTCAAGACAGAGGCAGCAGCTGAGTTCAGCAGCGGCAGCAGCAGCAGCAGCAGAGATAATCAGTGCCAGATGAGGCAGCCTCGGGTGTGTGGGCGTGGGGACTGGCCAGTGGGGCGGGCGGCAGGGAAGGCGGGACAGGGAGAGCAGAGCTGGGACAGTAGCGAGTCCAGGGGCCTCTCTGGGTCCAGGACACATAAATACTGACCTAGTAGGGGTTGGAGCAATGAAGGGCAGAGGGAGCATCAGGCTCTCAGCCATAATCCAGGCAATACAGTCATGTCATCTGGACCCTACTCTGTCCAGTGCCAGAGCATCCTTCCAACACAGCCTCTGGTCCTTCCCGAGGACTTTACATCCCATCCGTGATCCTCCACCATTCCTGCTTCCTCAGCACCCACAAGTCATTCCCTGGACTCCCAACCCCTAATCACTTACCCTCTTCCTGACCAACCCCAGCTCCAGCTTATTTTCCACTTCAAATTTCTACTGTCTTCTCTTCATCCCAGGGCCAGACTTGGCCACAAAGAATTTTCTCACCCATCTTCTCTCCCAAATATTTGGAGGTATGTGTGTGGGGTAGGGAGGCAAGGTATGTGGATAAAAGGAGTGTTTTACTTATTGAGGAAGAGGAAGCTGGAGTAGAAAGAAAGGGAAAAGGACATGTGAGATCAGACCTGAGAGGTAAATGGGGGGAAAGGGGGTTGACTTCACAGGGATGAAGGGAAATGGGTGAGAAGGTTTCTGAAGTCAGAAGGAAGCGTCTTCCTCCGTCTGGTGAACAGAGCATCTGAGCAGGGGAACCAAGTAGACGTGGACTGAGTCATCGCGGAGGGCAGGGTGCCTGGTCTTGGGGTTGGAAGAGGAAAATGGGCTGAAGGATCCAGGTGCTGTCAACTCTGCAGCAAGTGACAGCTTGAGCTGCGGCTGCTCTGCCTACCCGGTCACGCTCCTACCCTCCCTCGTCCACCAAGCGAGGCATCAGGTCCGCCAACTCCTGCCCTGTGTTCCTCCCAGGACCCAGGGTTCCAAACCAGGCCTTGCTTCAGCCTTTTATTGTATTTATCCATCAGATCTTTTGTCCATGATAGTCAGGTCAGGGGCCCCTCCTGGGCAGCCCCCCAAACATTTTACAAAACATTTCCCTGCCCACCCTGGCATGTCTAGCAGGCCCCACCCTCATGTGGTCCCCGCCCCCCCCGCCCCCAGTGTTCACTGCCACCACTTCATCTCTCCTTAGCCCCTGGCCCAGGGCTGGACTCCCCCTTCAGGGGTGAGACTAGGAGAGGGAGGTCAGCTTTCAGGGGTTGGAGGGCCTTGGCCAACCCCTCCAGCAGCCCTCTGCAGCATGTCCAGGGCCTCCCAGAAGAAATCTTTCTGCGCAGCCATCAAGGGCATCCAGCCTACGATCTCTTTCATCTTTTCCATGCGGTCCTGCAACGTGGGGCAACTGTGGATCTGGCTGAGGTACTCCTCACAGGCCCGGGCTTCCCCTCCGGGGTCCTCGGGCACTCCGGCCCCCAGGCTGGGCTCGGGGGTCCCCACCACCCTGCTGGCTGGGAGGTCCCGGTAGGCAGGATGGTGCTCGATGTCGTGGCTGGACAGCATGTAGAGGCACTCTCGGGTCGCGCAGAGAGAGCAGGCACACAGAGGGACCTTAGAGGAGAGACGCAGCGTGGCTGAGTGTGGCCTTAGTGAGGGGTTCCCAGGAAGCCCCAGCTGTTGTGTTCCTCCCTCTCAGACCAGCCCTGAGCCAGCAAGTGAGCTGGCTGGCTGAGCCCCAAGGTTGTGCGAGGTCTGAGAGGACCAGCAAGGTCAGCTAAGGGAGAGCCAAGTGCCATGGTATGTGGCAGGACTGGGAGGTGGGTGGTGCTGGGGAAGCAGGCCCTGTGGGAGTCCCAACTACAGTCCTAGGGGCCACCTGGCTCTGTGGCCCCGGCCCTCCCTGGTTGCTGGCTCAGCAGACCCTGCTCTGACCTTGACATGGAGCTTGACGAAGGAGGCGCTCCCCTTAGGCCAGCCAGGGAGGCGGCCTCCGGCCCCACAGCCACAGCCCAACAGCTCCTTGCTGAAGTCCGAGCCCTGGCTTAGCACCAGGGAGTGGTTGAGGCCACACCACAGGGCGATGGGGCGTTGCAGATAATGTACCTGAGGACACAGGGCCGGGGTCCCTGAGCAGGGAAAGCCAAGGGACTGGGGGGCCCAGGTTGGAGATGGGTGACAGAAAGGCTCAGGGCAGCATCTCGGGAAACTAGGGGAGGGAAGAGATGGACCCAGAATACTTACCCCTCCCCTAAGAGATCTGACTGCAGACTGGCAGCTATCTCCCCCTCCTTTGTTCCCCGGCAGCCCTAGCCTGAGCACAAGAGCTCTAGCATGTCTGTGGGTTCCTCCTCCTGGCTCCCTGGAACACAGGCTTCTTGCCTGAGTCCAGGGCCCGCTATCTGCCCCCTCATCTGGGCCCCCGCAGGCCTGGGCCAGTCCATCCTCTCATCCTGCCTTCCAGCCTCGAGGGAGGAAGAGCCTTCCTCTCGCTCGCTGTGCAATTCCAGGTCAGGGCCCAGTAAGGATCTGCCTTCCCCTTATTCCTTCCCTCTCTAGTATTTTCAACTTGTCTTATCTTTCCAAATGGCCACCCTGTTTTGGAAAAACATTACCATCTGATTCCTGCTGCTTCCTACCTGTCTTTTAGGCAGCAGGACTGGCTATGTGATCAGTCTGAGGTGGACCACGTTCTTGTTCTCACCACAGCCAGCCTCTCCTGAACCTCCTGTGATTTGGCTTCTCTCCCTGCTACACTATGATGTGTTCTCTCCAAAGGCACTTGACCTCCCAGCTGCCAAGTCCCAGGGCCTCCCCTGTACGCTTTCTCCTGAGACTGTGAGCGCTTTAATTCAGAAGACATACATAAGTAATTGATGGTCTTTATAGAAATAAAGTTATAAACTATTGGCAAGCAAAAATTAATTTAAAAAATCACTGGAAATCCCACCACCCACTATTACTGTCTGGCTGGATATTCTTCCTCACTGTTGCCTGTATAACCATACACACGGAAGTTGTCTATTTTTAAACAAAAATGGACTGTGTTCTGTAAACCATGTCATGATTTTTTTTTCACTTAAAAATATGGCCTGACCATCTTTCCATGTCAGTGAGTATATTCCTACATCATCACTGTCACCATTAACCACCCCCTCCTTTTTGAAACTTTCTGCGCGCATGGCTTTGGGGATGTGGCATTTGAGGGCGTGTCTCTGTCTCAGAGACAACTCTGTCAGTCCCTCTGCCTACAATGGCGGCTGCCACCCAGGTTTGCTCCTCTGTCTCTGCTTTTGTGGTTTCAGCCTCGTTCAACTTGGAATCCAGCTAGACATTTCTACTTTAGTGTTTTACTCTCACTGCAAAAAAAAAAAAAAGTCCAAATTCACATTATTTTCTCAAACCAGCATTCCTTTCCAACTCACAGGTGTACTGGTGATACCATCTATTGTCACAGCCACCTGTGTCCTAGGTCACTGTCCTCATATCTAATCAGTTTCCAGAGCCTGTTCATTTTCTTTCAAAACACCTCACGAATCCATTCCTTTTTGTCCTCACTGCTGCTGTACCAGACACAGGTCCTTGTCTCAGGTGCTCGAGTCACTCAGCAGCCTCGCTGGGCCTCTCACTGGTGGCCTCCTGTGCCCCCTGGCCGGGTGATCTATTCTCGGTCATCTGGGGGTTGCCGTCTCCTGCTCCAGAACTTGCCATGACTCTTTTCCAAATCTGTACGTCTATAGATTCACAGCCACCTATATCACCTCATATTTACCAGTTTCCAAAACACACTCTGCTCTAGTCAAGCCGGTCTTTCCACTGTCTCAGGGATGTGCAAGTTTCCTCCCCATCTCCATTACACAGGATGCCTTTCCTGGTACCCACCCGAATCCTATCTAACCCACTGGGCCCTGCTCGCATCTCACCTCTTCTAGTTACTTTGCTCACCTCCCTACTCCACTCAGTTCCTACTGCACTTACAGCTCCCACCTCGTGGGGCCCACCCTGGGTGAGGCATGCCACAGTAGCACAGGCATTACGTACTGGTTGGCTTAACTTCCTGGGGAGTAGGAAGTGGATTCTATGGAAACTAGAGAAGTGGAGAGATCCAGGGGTTAGGGAATTAGAGGAAGGAAGGGGCTAAGGATGAGAGTGGCTGGGAAGCAGTCTCACCTGTGTGGGTTCCCCTCTGTCCATTTTGTCCCCTGTTCCCAGCTGCCCATATCTGTTATTTCCCTGCATAAAGATTCGGCCAAATTCATCCACCAGGCCAAGGTGATTGTAGCCAAGAGCACAGAATAGGATCTAGGAGGTAAGGTTGAAAAGGGAGGTGAGCATCCAGTTGTCTCCAGAAGAACTCAGAGCTCCAGACTCTCCCAACTGCGAACCTACCATCGCCAGCTGATCACTTTTGGTCTTGCCCACTAGGTCACCCCTCTCCCTGGGTCCCCTGACCCTCCCTGATCAATTATTTGACTCCTGATCATATTTCAGAGTTTCAGTACCTTGCAGTCTCAAAGGCCCCACCCCCTCTGGTCTGCCCTGCCCCTCCAGGATCCTACCTTGGCAGGCAGTGAGAGAGCAAGCGGCATCTGCTGGTCCAGGGGGTCAAAGGCTTGAAGGGTCCCAAAGAGATCACGATACACCCCTGGGGTATGCACCTCAAAATACACTCCCCCCTGGTCTGGGGGGTCGGGAACCCTCAGCTCAGCAGCTTTGGGCACCCATTTCCTAGGGGTAAGGCCCTACCTGGGACAAAAGATGCAAGATCTGGGGAGCCTCACACCCACTATGCACCAGATATGATGTCTGGGCACCTAAACACACCTCTTTACTAGGATGCTCTACGGGTCCACCACAGAGCTGGACCAAGGATAGGAGGGGTGTCTGTATCTGGAAGGTCTGTCCACAGTTGGGATCTGTAGAAGAAGGGAGGTGGTTCTTACCCGTGATGTAGAGAGTACTGCTCTGGTTGGAAGCCATGCAGGCCACACGCAGGTGAGGGAGGCAACGGGACACCTTCCTCAGGGCCAGCTGAACTGTGTAGGAGCGTGGCTGATCCAGCTGGGTTTCATTCACTACCAAAGAGTAGATCTTTCCTTCCTCTGGGGGAGGGGGCGGGGAGGTAGACAATTGTGCAGGTGAGGGGACCCTCCAATATCTGCATTAACTTCCCAAGAAACTCCCTAAGACATAACAGGACAAAACATTTATTGGCCCAGAGTAGGGTTGGAAGAAAAAGGGTAGAGGTGAAAAAGGGAAGTTCCCTTGACTCCATCCCTTACCACCAAAACTAAATCAGGGAGGTTCTTCAGTGTGAGAGATGAGTGGAGAGAAAGCCGAGCAGTTGGATGTGACGGAATCCAACTTGAGTGCCGGGAAGGGTGATGTCTAGGGATTTAGGGTCCTGCCTAGCATTAAGAAATCTGGAAGGTCTCAGGCTTGGGCATGTGGTCGTCGAGTACAGGGAACACAGAAAGTAGGGGGTAGTTTGGGGTATAAAGTGCCTGGCATGAAGGTTGGGGAGATTAGAATTTAAAATATCAGGTGTTCACTAGAACAATGGTTTCCAAACGATTTCTTGTAGCAGGACTTTTGAAATATTATGTGGAATCCTAGGCTGGGAGACAGACAAAAGCAGAGCTGTTTGGTTTGAGAGCAGGACAAGGTGGCATGTAGAACCCTTGGTGAGAGGCTTCCCTCCTCACCTCCCACAGCAAGTTCTGAAGAATCTGCAGGAAACAGTTTGCAAACCACGCTCTAAGCCCTACCTGTGAGAAGCAGCAGAGCCCGTTGGGTCTCCTGACCGACCAGCACAATCTGCTTGAAGTTCATGGAGTGGTGGAAGGTCATCTTGAAGACCCGCTGCCCACTGGACTGCAGGTAGACCTCCACACAGTCGCAGGACCGGCTGCCGGTTGTCCCCGTCACTCCCGGCTGCTCCCGAGTGGCCAACACATAGAGGTATTTCCGGTAAACTGTGTCACATCTTGGGTCCGAGGCAAACTGTAGGAGAAGATGAAGTTGTCTGGGACCTAGGGACTTGTAGTGGGATGAGGCTGAGGGAACTGGACCGTCGGGTGGGGGATGATATATTTGGGTCCAGGGCTCGGAAATGCGGACTTGGTTTCTGGTTCCTGGTATGGGAGGGCGAGTGTCCTGAGGGGGACACCTCAGGACTGGTGTAGGCCCTGGGTTCCCGGAGGAGAGGTGGGGTCTCAGCTTCCAGGGTCCTGATACTCACATCCTTGGCTCCGCGACACAACACAACATAGCGGCAGGCCCGCTTCCACTGGATCTGGCCAAGGGTGGAGGAGACCAGGGCATTTTTGAGGAAGAAGAGGGTCCCTGCGTAGTCAAGAATGAAGACGTGGTCCTTGGTGGGCAGGAAGCGACGGTAGCCATGGGCTAGCAGGGGGGCTACGCTCTTGCTGAGACAGCGGCGGCGGCCCCCAAATGCCTGGAAATACAGGCCCTTTGTGTCTGGAAAAGGGAAGGAGAGGGAGGTTTAAGGAGTTGAGAAGGTGCAGGGAGATGAATCAGAACTTGGGCCAACTGGAGTTCTCAGATCCCATGGGCTTTAGCTCCTCTCCTTCCCCAAGCCTGGGGAACAGACCCCTTCCAAGGGGCATTTGGGAAGCTTAGACAATACCCAAAATTATACCCCATGCCTGAACTTTAGTTGTTTGCCCCACCTCAGGCCAGGGCCATACGCATGCTTCTAAGCGGGCACTTCTCTGGTCCAAATTTGCATAAGAGACATCAAATGAAGTATCAGAATTCACAAAAAAGCAGAAGGAGGAGTGAAAAGGAATGAAGGGAAAGGCCAGGAACCCTTCCTCACCCCTTGCTCTGGACCTGCTATCTGGATCTCAATCTCCGATGTGTGAGGTAAAGTTATTGGACAGGTGCTTCCTGGGAAGGGAGGGAGTTAGAGCATGTTTCTCAACCTGGAGGTGATTTTTGTCCCTCAGGGAACATGTCACAAATGGAGAAGGTGCTAGTGGCCTCTAGTGGGTAGAGGCCAGGGATGTTGCTAAACATCCTACAATGCAAAGGACAGCCCCTCCCTCCAAAGAATTATTTGGCCCAAAGTTTCAATAGTGACAAGGTTGAAAAATCCTGGTTTAGAAAAGTGAGAACTCCAGGTTTGGAAAGAGGAGGATGTCTCAAGGTAAGATTTGGAAGAGTTTGAATATGGAGGGAGACTTGGCAGGGATGCGTGTGGGGGCTCTGGGTGATATGTCTATCAGAGAGTGGTTCTAGAGACGTGGAGTAAGTCCTTGATGGAGTATGTTTAAATCTAACACATTTCTTGCAGAGAAAGGGGCCCTGGAAGGTTGGCTGGGAATACTGAGGTCATCGGGCAACTTTAGGGAGCAGGATGGTTCCCAGAATAAGGTAGAACAGAGGCAAAGAGGAGAGGTTCTGGGGAAGGTATACAGTTAAGAATGGCAGCTCTCTTCCAGGGCCGGACCCCAGATCCCTGCTCTCGAAGGCGAGGACTGAGCCGGTGACAGATGCGTCTCCATACGCCCTCGGCATCGCACACTTTGTGGAAGTAGTGGCAGGTCTGGCCGAGAGCCACTACATCTCTGACCGGGAGGAATGAGATGATATGCTCCACCTGCGGGGGTAGGAGGGGGAAAGCAGGGGTCATGGGGGCCTGGCCCGCAGTCCTTTATTCTTAACACCAACTCCTGCCAAGGACTCACCAGCTCTGGGGGAAACAGCTGCACAGAAATAGGGTTTCCTCTCCCCTTCTTCTCTTCACCCCCAGGCTCTGGGCCACATGAAGGGCAGCTGCGCTTCACCTACCCAAGAAGGGGGCGCATAGGGGTTCCATAAGGGTCATGCCTCTTTCTCCCTTCTGTTAATTACTGTCTCAGGGGCTCATAGCTCTAACTTCTGGCTCTGTGCTGTCACATCCTCCCATCTTTCTCTCTAGGTCCATGGGTTACCCCTCCCTGTCTGCCTTGTTCTTTGTCCAACTCCTTCAAATGATCCCTCCCTTGATCTCTTGCTGCCATCCCTTGCCTTGCCGTCCCCACCCCTCACCCTGAGCCCCTCCTCCCGTCCGCACAGCCCGGTGAATTTCTGCAGCTTCCGTCTCCGGCTTCTCCTCACCATCCTGACTGCCCCCTCCCTGCTCCAGCCCTCATCTCTCCGGGCCCCTTGGCCCCTCGTACTCAGCTCCCTGGCCCCAGTCCCAGCTGCCTTTCCCACACCATGTTCCCTGCCTGGGCTTGGGGGACCTCTGGGGCCCCTCTGCCTCCTAGGCCCCTCCCCCATGGAGTCTGGGGTTGACAAACCTCTGTGACCTCACTGCCCAGCCACTGTGACCTATTTTCCCCAACCTTGCCCCGGATTTTCTCTCTCAGCTCCTTGGTTCTACCTCAGTTCTAGCCACCCAGTGGCTTGTGGGATATGCATGACAGGAGAAATAAAGTGTGAACAACTTGGTAGATGAGGCCTTTACTTTCAGGGAGTAGTAGTAGGTTTTTCCACTTGATGCCCTTTTAGCACCAACTCTGTAGAGAAACAGGTGAATTCTTCATACCTCAGCAGGCCAGAGCTTCCAGGGGGGTTGTAGCTTGAGGATATAAACTCAAAAAAAAAAAAAGTATAAACTCAGTTTGACAGGTGAGGGGGAAGAGTGACTCCATTAATTAGACCATCTATCTCCTGAAAGCATACACCAGATGAGACTGAAAACAACTGAGCACAAACTCTACAGTTTCATGAAACACATCCAAAAACAAACCACTCTCTTGGGACAATAACATGATTGCATGTAGGAAGAGCAACCTATTAAGGTGGAAGAAAGAGATAGATTTACTCTGAAAGCTTAGGGTATCTCCCAGAGTCTAAGCTATTAACGTAGTCTCATGGGGACAGGGGGTGACATGGATGAGAAACAGTAGGAGTTGGGGCTGTGTCTGTCCACGTAGGGGGCAAAGGATCTTCACCAATCCATCCAAGGAACAGCTGGCTCTTCCAGGAACTCCAACAAATCCAGGCCTGGATAATCAGCCCTCAGCTCCACAGTATGACAGACTCATTGGTTTACTGTGCTAGCTAACAGACTGTCAACTGTCCAATCAAACTCCCATACTCAGGGGGACTAGTAAACAGCTAGTTTGGGATACATATGACGGAATTTTAATAATTCAATACATGTTTAAGGAATATCAACATCTGAGATGTGACTTACGGGAAAGAACCTTCAGCTATTTGTGGCTAGGCAACTATTAACCAATTAAGTGTATTATATTATATTAGAGGTCTTTTTGCCACCTAACAGGATGTTAAGATCTCTCAGCGGACTGAACAAGTATCGGCAGCTTCCTCTTGTATCTGGGTCCCCTTATCCACCCCATTTCACCTCGGGAGGCGAACAGAGAAATGCCCATCGCAAAAGCTGATGCAGGGGGGAGCCTGGCTTTTACTGCGACCTGTCGGTAACTTGCTGTTTGATCTTGACAGCTCATCAACTTCCCTCTGCCTCAGTTTCCTCATTTGTAAAACGGAGGATTTCTTCTAGATGCGGTGGTCCCTCTAGACTAACCCCCGCCCGGCCCCGCCAGGTCTGATCATCACAGTTCGGGCGGTATTTTCGAGGCTTTCCCCATCTCCCGTAAAACTCCCTCCAGGAGTTGAGCTGGGCATCTCCAGTCTCTGAGAAGCCGCCTGTCCGCCCGCCCGGACTCCAGAGACTGTCATGGGGTCCTCAGCCTCCGCAGCTGGAATGGCGGGTTCCTGCCGCTGCAACGACCCCCCGTGCAGTGGCCTCAGGCGTCGCCTTGCCTCCCTCTCCCCCAGTCCCCACGGTCTCCCTGGCGCCTTCAAAGCTTGCTCGCTCCGTAACAAGTCTAGCTCGCATACACTAATGCAGTCGCCGTACTGCTTCCAGCCGGCCCAGCGCACCGCGGTCACATTCTTCACCTCAGTCTCAAAGTTCTAGCTCACCCGCCTCCTTCTTAGCGAAGGGGCCGCCTTCTCGCCCATGCTACTGGTAGGTAGAGCCATCCCTCAGAGAAGAGGCCAGGCCAGGTTCCCTTTGGAGGATCTAACTGGCTTTTTTGACAGTCATTCGCCTGTATCTGAGTTGCGATTGGCCTTCGTTGGAAAAGGACCGGGGCTTGAGTTTCTTCTCTATCCCTTCTAGTTGCGTGCCGGCGTCCCCGCCTCCTGATTGGACCTGATTGGCTCCATCTCCAGCCCCAAGGTTTGTGATTGGGTGCGGTTGCGCGGGGCGGGCCGGCCTGGAGCGTCTGCAGTTGGCGATCGCGCGAGTCTATTCCCCCTCCCTTCTCTCGCCTCACTCCAGCGCCGCAGTCTCCACCCTCTCGGCAGGTTCTGATTAGTCAGTTCCGACGAGCCTCGAAACCGCGATTGGTCCGCCGAGTCCCTGAGCCCGCTTCCTCCCCCTCGAAGCGACTACGGCGGCTCCGAGGAGGGGGAGGGGAAGGGAGGGACGGCCAGCCCCGTCAGTCAGGCAGCGGGAGCCGCCGGGAGCGGATGGCGGCGGCAGTAGCGGCCCCACTCGCCGCCGGGGGTGAGGAGGCGGCGGCCACGACTTCCGTTCCAGGCTCTCCGGGTCTGCCCGGGAGCCGCAGTGCAGAGCGAGCCCTAGAAGAGGCCGTGGCCACCGGGACCCTGAACCTGTCTAACCGACGTTTGAAGTACTTCCCCCGGGGCGCGGCCCGGAGCTACGACCTGTCAGACATCACCCAGGCTGGTGAGTGCACCCGGCCCCAAGCCCGGCCAGGACCCTTATTTGCATAGTACCGCCCCTTCACTTGTTTCTCTAGGGGCCCGAGAATCTGGCCCGCCGCTTCACCTGGCCGTCGGAGTTCTCGACACTGGCATAAGTCTGCTACCACCCCCTCCCCACTTTAAGAACTGCTAGACAATGAGCGCATTTCTCGTTTGCACGGAACGCCCAGCATCCCTGGCGGAGCGTTGTGAGAAGCCTCCTCCCGCCGCTTCTCTTAATTTGCCTGTCTGCGCACCTGTAGAATGGTCCCGCCCCTCACCTGGTTGTCTCATTTGCGTGACCTCTTCAATCTCAGTTCTGATCGGTCCATAAAGCAGCCCCAAAGAACCCCTCTAATGACTCCTTTCTCTTTCTCCACTTCGTCTCCGACTCATTGCCCTGTTCCACCAAGATACCCGGGCCCCCGCTTCTCATGGATTTGCCCCTGACAACCCCAAGTTTCTGCTTCCTTTGCTTGTAGTCCCGCCCCCTAAGGTCGCTAGCTCTCTCCACTCTTCACCCAGCCAGGCCGTGAGAAAGAAGCAGATCTCCCACCTCCCCCAACTCTTCTCCGTGAGCTCTTCCTCCTATTATCCTTGACCCCTTTATCTGAGACTCCTCCTTCTTGCGTGTGTGAGGTCACTTCGGAGACTATGATCTCATAGAGACCCTAGAATTCCCATTTCAGTTTCGGCTTTCCCTAAGGGGAGGGACCTGAGGCAGTTGCTGAAAGGAAGGAAATCTTATCTCCTAGCTAGGAGCACTGGGAAGCTAGAGGCGGTCCTACTGTCCTTCCACTCCCCCACCCTCTAATCGTGCGCTATCCACCCTGGTGTCTGTAGATGGTAGGGTGTAGGGGACTCCACTGTAACAGGTGAGTCAGGCCTCAGCTGCTCAGGAGGCAACCGCTGATCTTAGGTTGGCAGCTGGAGGGGTGGGGATTGGGAGGGGACGGGGGACTGCATTCCCAAAACTCCACCCCGCCAAGCCCAGGGTGGGACTTGGGGCTGGATGAGAGTGTGTCCCCCTGATGACATTACCCTGGGACTGCATTTCTCCCCTAGCAGGAGCCTGCTCACCCGCAGACACCCTTGTGGGCACCGCCACATTCTCTTTCCTCTACTAATCTGGGGAGAACCAGTTAACCGCTCCACTTGTCTTGGGTTGCTAGGTAAACTAACTTGCCCACACTATAGCCAGTGAGTTTAGGGAATCGGTGAGCCCCAGGAGCCACTCCTGTCCCTCCTAGTTTCCCCCAGCCGCCTAACCCCCTAGCTCCAGATTGACCTCAGCAGCTGTGTGACACTCGCCGTCTGTTCCCTTTCCCCTCCCCCTTGCTTGTTTTTTGACAAAGACCAAATGTTATTCTCCTTAGGGCTCTGTCTTTCTCTGTGAGTGGACTCCTGGGGAAAACTACCGAGAACTCCAGGGCCCCTCCCAGCTCCTACCCTCTCCCGCCTCCTCCCTCAGCATTCCGGCTCAGGGTGCAGCCGGTTCTCCGTGAGCAAGCTTGTGGGGGGAAGCAGGACAATCCTAGCTTCCTGAGAACCCCTCTCTGCCCTGCTCTCCACCGAGGAGTCCTCAGTACTTTCAGGGCCCAGGCTCTAGGCCGGTGGGTCTATCTGACCCAGAACGCTCTCCTCTGTCCCCTCTCCCAAAGCAGGGTGCTTACAGCTTGGGGTGGAAAGGGGAAGTGACAGGAACCCAGTCAGTGTGGCCCGTACCCTGCTCCCCACACCTCCTTGCCCTTCCCCCGGACAGACTCAAAGCTCCAACGCTCTGCTGCCCCAGTCATTTGGAACCCTCCCCTCCTGCTTTCCCAGCTCTTTCCCAACGAGCGCCTTCCTTGCACGGTTTCTGTGGCGCAGGTCCCTGATGTCCCTTGGACTTATTCCTTGGGCCCTGATAGTAGGACGAATCCTGACGGGGGGAGGGGCTGCTCTCACAAAAGAGAAGTGCAGCTCCTTCTCTCACAGACCACATCCTGTGCCTCCTGTGCGCTGCCTCCTCCAGCCCGGGCTCCCTTCCGCTCCTAGCTTTTGCCCCCCGCTTGCCCCATCGGAACTTACTCTCCACCCTCTTCCTCCACGCGCGTGCCCGTGCGCACACACTTGTGGCTGCAGAGAAGGCAGGCAGGTGGAGGGTGAGGGTGGGAGGACGGCCCCTGCCTCGGATCCTCCCACGGCCTCCGGAACTGTCTTCTCCTGTGACAGGTCTCCTGTTGGTGCCCACCAGGGGTGGAGCAGAGAGGGAGAGGAGGATTCTTGGGGCGTCAGGCTCCAGTCACCTGCCCTGGTACACACAGGGCTCACCAGAGCCAGAACCTGACAGATTGTTTCTACTTCATTTCCTGTCACAAGACTCATTTCCTTGGGGGATATACCCCAGTCCTCCCACCTCAGCTTTTGCTTGCCCCTCCCTGGGGGGGCCCTCTCAGAAACTCACCCAAGTGCTGTGGCCTGGGACTTCCCCTAGCAGCCCCCAGGCCCCTCCCAATGCAGGCTGAGCAGAGGAAACAGAAACCCAGGCTTGGAGAGGTCTAAGCAGTGCCTCCAGACTGGCAGGAACCCTACGGCCGACTCCTTGCATGGGTATAGCAAGCCACCACTTGAGATAAAGGGATGGCGATAGACTCTGGCCTCCTTCCCTCCCTCTCCACTCCTCGCCCATGCCTGAGACCCAGGCCGAGGGGCTGGTCTGAAGTCTGGGTCAGTGAGAGAGGAAGTAGAGGAGGGCTGGTGGTGCTGCACGCTGCAGGAGGGTGGGACGGAGACCAGCCCTGAAGAAGAGTGCCCGTGTGGGAGGGGCCTGAGGACTCTCACTCCCACCTCCAGCGTGGTCAGCTTACCTTTCCCTCCTGGTCTTTGGGAATCTGTAACTTACACAGTCCCCTGGAGCTGGCTTGCTGATCTCTGGAGTTGGTAAAGAACCACTATGCGGTGTCAGGTCTCTAGAGTCAGGCTATAATGACCCTTGGTTTCTCCCTGGGTTGAAAGTAGGTTGAGATTGGGAGACAGGGCCCTAGGAGGGATGGGCTTTCTCGGTCGTCCCCTCCAGAAGTTGTCCGTATTTTTACCTTGGGCCTCCCAGCCCATCACCTTCCTGGTTTCTTTGGAGTGCCAACCCTTTCCTATGACCTTTGCCTCCCACCTCTCCAGGCATCACAGAAGAACAGGAGAAAGAGTTGTAGAATCTGGCCTCCCTTGCAGAATAGCCCTTCACTTGTGTGTTTGAAGGTGGTGTTCATGACTCGTCCCCCCACGTCTGGGATTCTCCAGTCCAGTGACCCCAAGGCCTTTGCCTTCCCTTTGCCATTCTGGTCATACTTGGAATGTGCTCCAGTTTACAGAAGGCTTTCTTCTTGCTCTAGGGAGTCCAGGTTTATAGGTCTGCTGGGGAGGTAGAGGGCTGGGCAGCTGGCACTGGGGAAGTTCAAGGTCCTCCTGTCCAGGGCTGGGCCTATGCAAGCTCTCCGCTGCCACCTGATTCCCCTAGACCTGTCCAGGAACCGGTTCCCCGAGGTGCCAGAGGCAGCGTGCCAGCTGGTGTCCCTGGAGGGCCTGAGCCTCTACCACAATTGTCTGAGATGCCTGAACCCAGCCTTGGGGAATCTCACTGCTCTCACCTACCTCAACCTCAGGTAGGGAGGCAGGGCCAGGGGAGGGTGGGGCTTGTCCTTCTGGGCCCCAAGTACCCCGCACAGTACCCTGAGTGACCTCCCCGGTGACCCTGAAAGGAGGGCAACACTGGGATGCCGTGCCCGGGGAGTGAGCCCACCTCCTTCCTCCTTCCCACAGCCGAAACCAGCTGTCATCGCTGCCCCCCTACATCTGCCAGCTGCCCCTGCGCGTGCTCATTGTCAGCAACAACAAACTGGGAGCCCTGCCTCCTGACATTGGCGCCCTGGGAAGCCTGCGACAGCTTGTGAGGATGAGGAGCAGGGCGGGAGCGGGTACTGATGAGCCAGGTGCTAGGGAGCTTTTGGTGGGGGAGTCAGGGAAAGGCCGAGACCAAAGAGGTGGCTGGGTTCAGGAGGCCGCTTCTGATGCTCCTGGTCTTGTGGTTCCTTCCCTGCTTCTCTCCTCATCCCAGGACGTGAGCAGCAATGAGTTGCAGTCCCTACCCGCAGAGCTGTGCGGCC